CTAAAATTATTATCTAATTCTATAATTTTTCACCAATTCAGAAATTTCTCTACTTCAATTACTAGAGTTCAAATTTGAATAAAAAAAAAAAACGTTATATAACCTCAAAAAAAGTTATTTTTAATAAATCTAGTATTAATAAATCCATTACTGTATTCGACTTACTTGTTTGCATTTCGGCGCATAGAAATGCAAAAATCATAATTTTGAGAATCCTCTTGATCTGATCGTTGAGTTGCATCGTTCAGATTAATTTGAGCTCGGATTTTGGATTATTATTACTAGAACGGATCGGCAGACACTTAACACTAGGCGGGGCAATGCTCGAGCGGCTTTCGGCCAGATAGTGCGCACCTTTAGAGAGAGCCGAACGCTGAATGAAATAGTTCAATTCTAAATCGCACGAAATCAAATTCGCAAACGCTTTTCCTCCAGATAATTCAATATTTGATTTGATTTCAGTCGATGTTTATTTCTATACACTTCCAAAAGGGCATTTTTGACTTTTCTTGCAGTATGTGGCGCACATGTAAACATGGCCTTCGTCTAGATCTGTCTCTGAGAAAATATATAGGCACGGGGGAACCAATATCAATCCATCTCTTTCTCTCTTATCGTACATTAGCTTTCTCTTTCTCCGTCGCTCTCTCATTTCTTCATCTCGCTCCCTTTTGTTCTTAGTTTGCTCCTTAGTCTCCCTCTCTCTTTCTCACTTTCACTCTCTCTCCCACAGCCTAACTTCTCTGTATGTCATGTTTCTAAAAATCGGGAAGAGTATTTTGTCTTCCTTATGTTAAGGTTGATCTTTCCTTCTGTTTTTTTGTTTATATGTTTATATGTACTGATAAAGTCACAACATGCCATAAAAAAAACATTTACACACACACACACACACGCAATAATAATCGCAATTGATAAGACCTCAGATTATTTATTATTATTTTCTTCTTTTTTGTTTTCTTCGATTTCTTACTTTGTTTATTTCGTTTTTTATTTATATTTAAATTGCGATCAGTGCACTTGAAGTTGGCAACATGGCTAACGATTCGCTATACCCTGGACTTATGTAGAAGACGGACTGAGTATCAATCAATCTAGGAATAAAGGTCACGTCCACTTTTATTGGCAGCATTGCCTTGACTTAAAATAACATGCACTTAACATATAGTTGGCATGCACTTATAACATGCAATTAACATCATATATATATACTTTACATACACTTAACATGTCTCTGTTAGTAGTAGACTGTCAGCCTTTAAGCATAAGCCATGACATAGACACAGTCACAATATCAGTCAAAGATCTATAAAATTCCACCATTTAGATTTGTAAATGTCATGCTCTGATCTGTTAGTTCCCTATGGTAATATCACAGTGGAACTCTCCTATCAACTGCCAGCTAATCACATTCAATACGTTCGTTTCGTAAGATAGTGTGATTGAAAGACGTTTACATAGCTAAATTGCATTCGACAAGCGATTGTCGATCGCCGATAAGAATTAGGAATTGCCCAACAGGTAGCTGGAGCAGCATTGGCTGGTAGAGTATGAACTATGAAATACCCTGTACACTTGTGGAGGTTTATCAGGTTCTTGGTTGTATTTCAATTTTTCACTCCAAATTTTTATTTAAATCAAAGATAAATCATAAAACAGTTTTTCCAATTATAACACGAAATGGAATTTTGAGCGGTTTGATAATGGGATATTCTAAAGATCAAGAAAAATAACAGTTTAAACGATTATCGTCGCCTCAGATAGATAGGACTTTTTCGGACTATTAGTAATTGTTTTTGTTTCGTCGCACACTGATAAGGAAGGCATAAAATATGATGAGTTTCCTACTTCAACAAGATTAAACGATTTGTACTCACGCAGTGGAATCGAGCACAAGATCCTAAAAGTAGGCTACTCATGGCATTGTATCATTCATAGCATGTGGATCGCTAGAAGCGGTATATGGTGAACAGGAATATGGAATATAAATGCATGTTAGATGGCTTGAAGGCTTTGGCGCCCCCTACCGCCTTGGTGGCATCTATGGCATCCGTTAGGTCTTTAGAATCCGGACCGTCAAAATCTTCATCAGCATCGTCCCTATCGGAATCCAAGTCTTCCCGATCTTCCGCATCCGAATCGGCTTCTGCTTCGACTGCCTGTCGTTGTTCACGTATATCGTAGCGCTTCACAAACTCGTCTATCCAGGCTTTGTAGTGATGCACGCTGGTGTAGATGCCCGATTGGTTGGGCACGCCGCAGCGGATTCCCCACGAGCCGATGCCAACCAGCTGCCCCTGGCAGAGCAGCGGTCCCCCACCATCAGCGGTGCAGGCCGCCAGCTTGGTGTCGTTCGTATTTTCCGCACAGATCATGCCCGGTTGCAGGTCGACCTGTTGGCAGGCTGGCTGCTCGATTAGTGTCACATTTAGCTTGACCAAATTGCCGAGAAAGTATTCCATTTGATCATTGTTCCAGGCGGAGATCTGGCAGTGGGTTAGCGGCTGTGCCGTGACCGTGGTCATCTGAACGGGGCGTATAAATGGCGGCACTGTACCGTTGAGGTGAATCAATGCGATATCCTTGTCATAGCTCTTCATGTTAAACATCGTCACCAGCACCGCCACCTCGTCCACTCCAAAGGTCAACGGCTTATCGTTGGGCATCAGCAGCTGCTTCTTGCCCAGCACAACAATGAAATTCGACTTGTCCAGGAAAGTGCCATTCAAGCTCGTTCGACTGAAAAACACACACACACACACACACACACAATTAGAGCTTCAGCTGTTGCCTCAGACGAATATCAACCACATACTCCACGAAACAATGCGCCGCAGTTAGCACCACATTGTGGCTAATCAGCGAGCCACCGCACACA